TTTGGGGGGGGGGGGGGGCATTATTTCACTACTAGTGGCAACATAAGAACATTGCAAAATTTTTATCATTAGCTGGAATGGGGGCTCACTAACAGTGGATTGTAGTTTTCTGGATGTGCCCGGCCGGCCTTGACTGGCGACCAATCCAGGGTGTAGTCTACCTTTCTAAATACGAGGGCATGCACGACCCTGCACGCGCTCTTCATAATGCAAATAAACCATTGCACTTGGATCAACCTTGAAAAAGGTCATTAAAAAAAAAAACTTCATATTCATTTACATTCAAAAACAAATCCTCTGCGTATATCTTCCATGCCAAAGGCCACCTGGCAAATTGGAGGTTTACTTCTTGTTTCAATTGAAAAGACATGAATTAATCAAAACAACACAAAGTTAATCTGGCAAAAATGTGGCGGCTTTCGACTGTAAACCATCTGCGTGAACCCTGTTAAAAAGTTCTCTTCGACTCTCTTGATGAGCCTGAAAAACCACAGTAAAGTCGCCCAGTGGCTCGGCCCACAACATAAAATGCGAATCTTTCTCTGGTGAGGAAAGGAACTCAAAAACAGCCTATTTTCATTTGCTTTGAACGTCTTGTTTCTCTTTTTTTGATTAGAATAACAGAAACCAGCCTTTTTTTCTTCCGCCATTATAGTGAGGAAACAGGATGTTCAAAGAATACATAATACAGTGGCACACTGTATTAGCCCTGCACTAAATCCGGCATATTACAAATTTAATTGTCTTAGTAAGTTGCATTGTCCCTTCCATTACAGAAAAAATAAAAGTTCAGCCTTCAACCAAAATTTGCAGGACTTTTGCCTCTAAAATTACACAAAAATCAAGTTTGAACGGCCGTCATTCATGACGTCATACGAAACGTCAGTATATCTCGCTATGCTTCAGCTCACACAATTTCTTTTCCAATCTTTGGTTCCATGTGTGTTTGAAAGCCATTCAGTACAATATGGCTAAATTGACTTCTAGTTGACAGTAGTAATAAAAGAAATGAATGTACACCGGGAAGTGCGGCAAGTTTTTGGGCTCTATTTTCGTAGATAGGCGCAAGTCCGCTTGGCGTAAAAACTGCCGCATCTTCATTTTTTTGTGCCCGGGCAAGATCATGTTACGCTAGGCTGGACACTCCGGCACACCGATTTATTTTTGATTGAAATGACTCTGGCGGACCTGACAATTTTGTGATAGAAAGAAGACTGAAATTGAGAGCAGCAGGTCTAAGTTGTGGCGCAGGTGGTGTAAGGGGATTTTGGTGGATTTGACTGAGGCGTAGGCAGACAGATTATGAGGTCCGCGGACGTGTATGGGTGATGTCATCGTATTTCATTCGTAAATATAGCAGCTTAGGTCAATTCCTTTGCAGCATTGTAGAAATCAATTAATTGAATAAATATATATATTTTAAAGCACCTCCCTGACCGTGGCACAACTATAGGTGGGTGGTGGTTTGTCATACACAGATGCATGATGGGTGGTAGAAGGCGGGTTACAACTATCCACTTCACAGAGGCAAATTTGACATCACCCGGTGTTTTACAGTTCCTTTTAAATGAACCTTGCACGCACCAAGCGCCAACGAGTCCAATTCCGTCATGTAGACCCGCGCACCTCTCCTGTGCTGAATTTCAAGGGAATGTTGTCGATTACAGAATTCTGACTTTGAACCAAAATGCAGTGTCGGATGAGCATCCTTTCCGGTATGGACTGTGTTCTGTCTTGGAAGCTCAACTGCTATTAGACGGAATGAAATCCATACCTGTATCCACTGGTTAGCCTTTCTTTCTAAAGCATTGGCTGGATGCTCGGAGTACAGCTCCCACAGACACTGAAATATCAGCGCTCTGCTTTTATCTTGGAGAAACAAAAAAAAAAGAAGAAACACACACCTAAGATGTAAGATCAATATCCACTACAGTTACCAAAATGAATAGCCTTCATGTTTGGGGTGTAATTGAGGAATATTATAATAATAAAAGGCCCCTTCTTAAAGGGCAAGACACACTTCACAGCAGTTCAAAACGGGTCTATGATGCACTCACCATCAGCAGTGACAACAGGGTTCCAGCACAAGCGGCCCAGAATCTGGCCGAGAGAAGGAATCGCCTTCATAGTCTCTGTTGTGGAACTCTTGGAACGGTCAAAAGAAAATCATTCATTATTTCAATCACATTTTTTAAACCTTTCATAAAATTGAATCTCATTTCATGAATACAACACCAAAACACCAAAAAGTTAACATTCGTTAACGTTAATGAAGAAAAAAAAAAACAAAAAATGACTAAGTGCTTTGTTCCAGGGGGGGTGAAGGGAAACCTCCAAGTTTCAGGGAGGGCAACCATCAGCCTGGAATGGTTGTGTGTGTGTGTGTGTGTGTGTGCAGCTCATAAGCCATATTTCACACAGGAGCCAGTTTAAGCAACATTTATTTTAATGCCCCGCCGCCCCAGGCCCAAATAAATAAATTAAATCACAACAAAATACCAAAACCCCTCGGTAATATAGTGAAGCATATGTCTGCACATGTGCGACCCAACCGTAGCCAATCCTGTGTACAGTATTACCTATTTAACCCATATCAAGCCTGTATCATGTTTGAACCGTGAGCTAATTAAGTTCAACAGTGTAGCTTTGTTGCGGGAGAAGCCCACACAGAGCAATTGGACATATGCAAGTGTAATCGAGGCAATGTGCTGTTGCTCAAGCAGAGAAAAACTCCGAGTTGGCCTCAGAGTGTGTGTGAGCAAGCTCTCAGACGATCACATGCAGCTGCCTTTGAAATGGCTTCCATAGGTTCCTTGGTGGGCCTTCAAACAATTCCATCTTAGGTGTACGCGGGTCGTTTGGACTACAGCAGTGTTGTTAGTGAAAATGCAAATTTCCCGTTATCGACCAGGTCTAAACACAGAAAAATAGAAAATGCACATTAAGTTTCTTTACAGTTCCCCCCGCCATCAATTGGCTGGCAAGCAAATTAGACCCGTTTTAGTTGGGGGGTTGGGGGGTTACGCAGTACAGGGGGTCCCTCAGTTTACGGCGGTGCTCTAATCCTACAGCAGCGACTTAACACGCATTTGTACAATGGAGTCGGAAGGCGCTGCAGTCGATCACTAACCTACACTTGCGCAGTCGTGACGTTTGAATTACTGGTCGAGTAAATATGTGAATAAACATACTGAAAAGAGGTCAACTCTGATCAATTCCGTCTTCAAAAGTAGCAAAAGTTTAGGTAGCTTTGTGCCTGTGGTTTAAGCATGAAACAGGCAAGATGGCCAACTTGACTCATTTAGCTTCGTGAGATCACCATTAATGGGAAGCAGAGCGGTCAAAGGCAGCTTCTCTTTAAGACCCCCCCCCCCGCCCCCGATCATCATCATCAGTAAAGCACATGTGATCAAGAGCCCCAAACCATCTTCCTATCCTGAACATGTGGGAAAAAAAACATCAATGCTGCGGGATGATGCAGCTGCAAAGAAATGATCATTTCCTTGTCAATACCATCCCAAGCAAGATGTTAACTGAAATCCGTGGCATAATTGAAGCCTTGTTGACATTGTTGCTAATGAAAGAAAATGTTTGCTCCGTGCGTCTTGATTAAAGACAGACCCGAATCTGATGACTCCAAGTCAAGGGCAGGTTTATAGAAATCCTCGCTAATTTCAGATGAAGAAAGCAAAGAGGAAACACTTGCTCCTGACATCATTTCAACTTCAATCAGACCAGTCTGAACAGTCAATGGCAGTTCCCATGATGAACTCATCAATAAAAGTGTGTAGCCGTCTTCCCAAACTGCTTCATCTCCTTTCATATCATCGGGGCCGCTTGAGAGCCAGGTGATTTGGAATTGTTAGGAGAGTAAAATGTACTGGGAACGTTATGGAGATCGACAAGAAAATGAGAAACATCCAATTCTGATTTTATTCAACACTTCACTTTTTGGGCACACGCCACGAGAAAGTTGTTAAGTCATCAAGGGATACGGAGTGCTGCCAAGAAGCAGGCTATCCTCAGCTGGTCTTTTATGACTCCGGTGCCTGTAAAAAGGATTTCAGTCCAATTAAACTATACCAGCTTTTCTCTCTCCCTCTCTCCCTCTTTTTTTTTTTTTTTTTTAATTCAATTCTTCATTTTACACACCCCAGCATGACATATGCCTGGAGTCATGCTCACAGAGTGGAAGATGGAAAACACAAAAGATTTTTTTTTTTGTTCATGTCCATGTTAAGATCTGTTCTGACTAAACAGTTCAAAGCAAATTTGGAGGTCAAGCAATGCTTTAAGCCATAGCTAGCGACACTTGGGCTGGATTTACACAGGCGGTCTGAAGTGCCCATTCCAATTTCGGCACGATATCTATTTACATCGATTTTTAAGTGACCTGGTTTGGCTCACCTAACTCCCACACAGGTAGGTCTCCGTAAATAAGAATTGTTTTAAGTATTGTGTTATATCAGGGCCAGTGCTAGGCTAATGATGGCCCGACACTCAAAAGGATTACTGTCGAACCCCGCATCTGCCATTCAAGGACAAGGTATAGCCATTCATCCTGCCCGAGTCATATTCGCAAAAAAAAATATATATATATA